AATACTGTACTTTTAAAGTAAATAAAATATACAAGGGAAGTGCTGGGCAGGCAACAGCTGTGAAGGGAGTCTACTCTCAATCACACTCAACTGAGCAGCAGACAGACACTCCACCGGCTTCCATGTCTGTCTTCCTTAGTCTGTGACTATAAGGACTTCAATCCAGGTTCTCTAAAGAAAAACAGCTGTCAGGAGCCAATGATGGTCTGCCAGAAACCTAAAACTGGACTACAGTTTATACCTTTTGAAATTAGAACAAAGGTTAAAACATAGAAAATAAAGAATAGTAGATCACTAGTGGCAAGTAATGCCAAAGCATCTAACTGGCACGGCTATCAAGAATGACAGTGCTGTAGTAAGCTGAATGGGTCCTTGACAGAAACATCAGCATGAGGGACACAGGAAGTGTAACTGCAGAGCCTAACTCAAAGAAGCACAGACGTACACAGAGAATAGCATGTGTCTATTAGGACTGGTCACACTAGTAAATGATTTATTTCTTTGTTAGGATCCTATTCTTTAAATTTCTACACATATCTGAATGTATGATATAGAATAACTTAATGAAATGTCATAAAAAACAGAAATAGGTATTTCATTATTTTGATATAGCCACAATCATTTAAGGGCTATATTCCAAAATACCTTGGACTCTAGTAAGTGTTTCAATTTGCAAGTTTTATTATAATGGATAATGACCCATCCACCTCAAAAATATGAATACAGAATTCTTCCTGTCAAAAGGAAATGCAGGGACAAAGAGTGGAGCAGAAACTAAAGGAAAAGGCCATCCACAGATTGCCCCACCTATATGTAGACACCAAATCCGGACACTATTGCTGATGCCAAGAAGTACTTACTGACATGAGCCCAGTATAGCTGTCCCGAGAGGTTCTGCCAGAGCTAGTCCAATATAGATGCAGATATACATAGCCAAACATTGGACTGAGCGTGGGGACCCCAGTGGAGAAGTGAGGGCAAGAACTGTAGGAACTGAAGGAGTTTGTAACCCCATAGGAAGAACTATCAACCAACCAGATGCTCCCCCCCCCAAGCTCCTAGGGACTAAACCACCAAACAAAGAGGGGGGGGGGGGGGGCGCTACGGATCGGACCCATGGCTCCAGCTGTATATGTAGCAGAGGATTGCCTTATCTGGCATCACTGGGAGGGGAACCTCTTGGTCCTGTCAAGGCTTAATGACGCAGGATAAGGGAACACTAGAGCACTGAGTCAGGAGTGGGTGGGTGAGTGGGGGCGCATCCTCATAGAAGCAGGGGGAAGGGAAGAAGGGATAAGGGGCTTGTGGAGGGGAAACTGGGAAGGGGGATAACATTTGAAATATAAATAAATAAAATAACCAATTAAAAAAATTATCAGAAATAAGAAAGACCTATGCAAGGCCCTATTCAGAAACAGCTTTCCACTGTTGGGAAACTGAGCCCAGGCCCTGCAAATGCCCTACCACTGTGCTACACTTTCAGCCTTGGAAATACGACTTTTACCCTGAACAAGCCAACAGTGCTTATGACTGAACCCCAAGGCTTTGCACTCTACCACTGAGCTACACTCCTAGATAAAGCATGACTTTTAAGAGAGACATTTGCTCCTCATTTTACTCTTTGAATACAACAAAAAGCTAACGCAACTACCCGACAGTGAGCTGATAGACTGTTTCATTCCATGCTCTCCCTATCTCCCTGTCCACGCACTCGGACTTCCTTCCTTCTATGTATTATCTGTGTGGCATGGCATCACAGCATCTATGCATTCCTAAGCACTCAGATGTTTAGTACGAGAAAATATTTTTATTTAACTTTTAAAAATTGACTTTTGTGTGTAAGGTATTGGTAAGGGCGTCTTGCCTGCATGTATGTCCGCGAACCCATTCATTCCTGAGGGTGTTGCACGACACAGAACTGAATTATAGCCTGTTATAAGCTGCCATGTGAGTGCTGCAAGCTCAACACAGAGCACTGGCCATTCTTCCCCTCTTACATCTTCAGTTTTGAACCAAACAGGCTTAGTGTGTCTCACTGGAAATGCTCGTCTGCACACACATAATGAGATATACTGAAGACCCTATCCTGAAGTTCATTTGTTTTATATGTATCTTACACACATAAAGTTAATTTTATTTGATTTTTTTTAATGTGTCCATGTTTTGATCGTAACTCTTTATATAAGACCAGGTATCAAATTACAATATCACATTGAGTAGTCACAGTTCTAAGTTTTGCAGTTTCAGACTGCAGATTCTCGTTTCAGAGATATTCCACATGAAATAGTACTACTTTAGCTTTTTTTTTTTTTAAATGCTGGAGTGTGAAAGAACGAGAACTGCATTTTTTCTACAAGTTGACCAGAAGAGTAAAACCTAGTTTTTATCCAGAGTTTAAATGTCTATCCTTTAGGGTAAGAATTTGCTTTGACCTCAAAACAAACAAATATCTTAAGCAATTACTTTAGGTTACAGAGCAGGGGATATGAAATCAGAAAGTGGTTGAATTCAATAACTAAGCTTTACAAAAGATTACAGTAATTTTGTTGCAGTTTTGTGTTTTGATACAGGCCCTCACCATGAAGGCAAGACTAGCCTCAAACTTGCAGAGAGCCTCGTGCCTCTGTTTCCCTCCAGAGTGCTGCATTCTAGATATTATAAGCCTTCATCACCACAACTAGCTGGTCAATTTACTATTAATGGCAAATATACACGTGACTACAAAGAATGCACCTGAGTCCTTTATCCTACTCCGGGTCTCCACACTAGTTTGCCTTCCTGTGTTTCAACAAGGACAATTTAACTGGCTCTTTCCTGTTTCCTCCAAAATTAAAGTATATGCACCTGACAATGAAAGTTAATATACAAACTTCCCCCAATCTATCATAGAATGGAATGGTTAGACGATCGATCGATCGATAGATAGATAGATAGGTAGATAGATAGATAGGTAGGTAGGTAGGTAGATAGGTAGATACTTTTTGTGATACTGGTGGAAGCAAAGGTGACTCTTAAAAATCTTCAATTATTAACTCTTTATCTTTATAAATGACAAAATGTTAGAAATTGATTTCACCAATTTGGCAAATTTAAACGATAGCTGTCTAAGCTTCTTTGGTGGTAGTGGAGGAAATTCTGTTGCAGGGGTCTATATATCTCAGAAAAAAAATTAATATTCACAAAGTACAAAACTTCCTATTGTCAATAACAACATTTGCTACACTTAGTAATGGCAAGTTAGCATCTGACCAGGCTCTGTCCTCTTTGAACCATGTGAGCTTGGGAAATTCTGATTCTACACCCATGAAATGTTTCATCTGTTGTCTTCCTACCCTGTTTTTTTATACTTCATATGCCATGTAAGAACCCAATTAGACAATATGTTTAAAAGCACATGGACAATTATGTCTAACAAAAACAACATCAAAGCATTACAGCCTTAGTCACCTGCAAAAGGAAATGACCAATCTACAAAACCATCCACTGTCCTATTGCCACAACAGTCACATAATCACAACTGCATTCTTACACTGTCCACTTTTATTATTTGAAGTGTGACTGTTCATTAGAAGCCCATTAAATGGTACATAAGGATGAACTAGTAGAATAAATGGCAAAGCATGTAAAGAATTGGGTCATTTAAAAATCTTGGTAATACTATCTGCCCCAAGCTCCACATTCCTAATGGCCCTTTAAACTCCCCATCTCCGGGGCTGGAGAGAGGTCTCCACGGTTAAAATCCCCATCTTCCCTGCTTTTCAGAGGCTTCAATGAAGGCACTGTTTTCTCAGAGTCTAAGAAACAAGAATATTTTTCTCCTACAGTTTGAAGTCTTGTGACACTCTAGTAGCTACTATTTATCACACAATGTGGCTCTACACGATGCTCTGCAGTGCTTTCTCCATGAGCGAGAAACAATCTTCCACAGCCACCCAGGCTGCAGGAAGCTTTATAAATCCAAACAACAGAGAATTCCTTTCTCAAAGTAATTCTGGGCAGTCAGGTTTCTGTTATGCAAAACAGGTTAACTTCCCTCAGACAATCTAAGACAGGTTGTTCATGCTGACTTGTGACTCAGTTTCCATTTATACAAAATGAGAATTAAATAATCTTTCAAGATTTTCTTAGTTGAAAATTTTAAAATTCCCATTAGATAACACATAACTAAGAGACCTCCAAAGACCAACATCACTCACCTACACTTTTCAGGTATTCAGCATTTCTCAGCTATGCCCAGTCCCCTAAAGGGGAATCAGTCACTGGTATCACAACTTTTATTCTAATAAGTGCAGCTTTAAAAAGTATTTTTCCCAATGAAGGTTATCTAGCTATGCATCTGTATAATTGTAGTTTTTAGAGTCACCGAACTCCAAAAGGACTGGAATCAAGTAACAGTAAGACATATGCAAGAAAGTAAGACATATGTAAGAAAATGGAATTGTCTCATTTTAAGAAACCTTCCAATTTCATACCAGTTTGCCTGTGACTGAGAGCAATCTCTAGATTCAGAGCCAGATTCCTGCCGTATCTGACTTCAGAATACTATGAGGGGGAAAGGCATAGTGAAACAAGACCCAAACAACCAGTAAACAGCCTGACCTTAGATCCCTTCTCTTCACTCAGAAGAGGATCCTGACCTGAGAGGCCATGGGGAAGGGATCCCCAGTTGGAAGGTGGTAGCACAAAATGAGCATAGATAGATAGGGTTCCACTTCCTGATAAAATTCCACTTGATTGGCTAAAAGAACTTTAAATTTTGTTACATTACTCTCCTCCTTCTCTCCTCCCCCAACCCGTGTGTGTGTGTGTGTGTGTGTGTATGTGTGTGTGTGTGTGTGCGCGCGCGCACATGACATGGTGGTCAAAGAACAACTGGAAGGGGTTGAGTTGGTCCTCTCTTCCCACCATCAACATCCTGGAGACTGAATTCAGAACATCAGGCTGAATCTTTTCACCAGCCCTAAACAATGTTTGAAACAAATAATGAGCAATGCACTCACCTGTTACCCACATGAATGTGGGGGTTATGACAGATGTATTGAAGCAATTCCTAAGGCCATTAAGTATTTTAATCCTGTAATATCCTGGCTCTGGTTGAAGTGAGTATGGTATTTTCTTCACATGCCTCCATTGCCTTCTCTATCTCAGTGGTTCTCAACCTTCCTAAGGCTGCAACCCTTTAATATGTGTCTTCATGTTGTGGTGACCCCCAACCATAAAATGACTTCATTGCTCCTTCATAATTGTAATCTTGCTACTGTTATGAATCATAATGTAAATATCTGGTAAGCAAGATATCTGATATGTAACCCCCACAGGCTGAGAACCACTGCTCTACACTGAATGTCTACGTTAGTCATAAAACATATTAAGCAGTACAGTTCTAAGTATCAATGTCTCATGAAAGATACAGCATGACTTAGGAATTCAGAAGCCCACTGGTAAGATGGTTTTAATCATCAGTGAGGACTTACTGGGATTAGTATTTTTGCAGGCTCTTCAAAGATACAAATAGGCCCTTTTGGTTTATGATTTGGCCTTTGGAATCTTTTAATACATGACTATCATTGACAGGAAAAGCTAGTCAGGGACAAAGTCACCCGTGCAGCACAGTATCTATTTACCCAGTTAACAGGAGGCTGAAGTGGCCCTTCTTTCTTTACTCCTGGGATTTGAGTTTTCAGGATATCAGTGTTTATTCAAGCACTAGGTTTATTTAATTTTAGTTTTTACAATAACCACTAGTATTTTATCCAGTCACAGATCTGTTATAGAAGGAAACAAAAACAGCCTCTTTAAAGTGAAAATAGGGAGCACATGGAGGAGTCTCATAGAAACGAAGTTGAACTCTCTCAGTTCCAGCTTTTCCCTTTGAAAGTCACCAGCTTTTCAGGGCTGAGGATGCAGCTCAACCGGTGAATGCCTGAGTCCCAAAGCCTCACAAATTGACACTCAGGTGGAGTGGAGCTGTTCTGTTACAAAACAAGTTCAAGGTCAGCCTGAGATCATAAGGTCTATAAAACTAAGAAATTCTACATGTTGTTTTCAAAAAGTTACCTACTTTGGCTCTCTTGCATCTAAGACATGTAAGTATTTACACTATCAGTTAGCACAATTCACACTGTACAGACTTACCCTACTTCTTGAGGGAAAACTTGAAATGTTGTCTAGGTTACTCTAACTTGGAATATAAAGCTTCTGTGTATCACAATTTCTGCTATAGACTGAAAGAACATTATAAACCTATATCCTAGAATCACCAAAGAACCAAAATTACTTCAAGGCCAATACATAATAAAAAAAAATGGTATCTCAAATAAATTGAAACAAAATTCTCTTGACTAAAGAGTTATTTTTGTAGCGATTTCAGTAACTGCCATAGTTGACCTTTAAGACTGTAAAGAACATACATTTTATTATACTACAAGTTTTAAATTAACACGAAAGTCCTGTATTTGTTAATATACAGCCAACCCACATTCACCAGCATATAAAATGGCACTAGACAGCATGATTACAAGAAAGTAATCTGCAGAGACTTGATAAAACAAACTCCAATCCAAGTAAAGAAAGCATCCCTTCCCCATTGATAACTTCTAAAGCTCTACAAGTTACAATATATCTTCTCATCCACAAAATAATCCTTCCAGTTAACCAAATTACTTCAGATGCAAAGAGGGAGGGAAAAAAATCATTATCCATATAAGGTCTTCCAACACACCTTAAGTAACAGGAAGACCCATCTACTCATGTATACTGATGTGACTTGGTCAAATGTGGTAGAAACCAAGAAGTGGGTGTCACAGCCATACCCTTACTAACTGGGGTAAAGGATGAACAGGCCATCATGAAGTAAAAGGAATTGGGTACAAGTGAGATGCAGTCAAGAATCAACTTCTAACACTAGCATTTATAATTTCATTCATCCCTTATACTCAGTACTTCCTTTACAATAGAGATCATTTTCACTTTACACTTCGAAGTGACAAAAATATTTCCCCCCGAGAGGAACCTACAGCAACATTCATAAGCCTATGGATGTAAAAAAAAAAATGAATTAAACATGTCTCTTCACCTCGCCTTACACTTTTCTCAGTTACCTCCCGAGGGTGTGAAAATATCAACATCCGGTCGCCCATCCCCACCCTCTCAGTAGTGTCTCCCGTGGACTGCGTCCATCCTTCTCCTTCCCTTTCAGTATCATCACCTTGGAGAAGCTTATCGAGTATTTCTTTCCGTTACTCCCCCACCCCTTTTCATGGCCGAGCGCAGCCTTCTCTGCACCTGGACCAGCAAGAGAAAGCAGCAGCATGCTTAGCGGAGGACAGGCAAAGAGGCCTGACAACCGGATAGCAGTTAAAAACAACCGGATGGCTCCCCAACGGCCTCGGGCTGCCAGTAGGGTCACTCGGTGCTGAAACCCCCATCTTCACACTATCACCCTCGCCACGCCACCGATGCAGAGACCGGTTAAAAAAAAAATTAAAAAAAAAGAGCAGAGCCGGGGCAGCGCGAGGCACGGTCAGCCCTAACGGAGTCCCCCGGGGAAGAGGACAGCGAACCCGGGAGCGGCCCCCGCCCTGCGGCCGGGGCCCCGCACTGCAGCGGCGCCCGGGCGGACCCCACGCCCGCCTCACCCGCACAACGCCGCACACAAAAGCGCCGGGCCGCCGCCTTCCCGCCCCCACAACCCGTAGAGCA